GCTGCCCCGCTCCGCCCGCAGCTGTTCCAGCTGTGGCCGCCTGTCCGCCCGTGGCACCCACAGTCTCTGCCGCGGCTCCCGCGCCCCCTCCTTTCCCCACCTCTTCAAGTATCGTCTGCGCAGCGGTTTCTCGCGAGAGAAATACTTTTTTAAAAAAAAAGAAAGAAAAAGAAAATGACACCCCCTCCTACATCCCCCTCATCACCACCCCACCCCTCGGCCCCATCCATCCTCCCTTTCCACTCCCCTTTGCCAGCCACCGCCTCGGCGCAGCGGCCTCCCTCGCTCGCGGGCTTAGTGCAGTGAGAGGAGGCAGAGGTGATCGGGTCCTGCCCGGCCTGGGATTGTTCGTTTGCGGGTGAGAAGTTGAAGGAATGGGAAGAAGTGGAGCAGCGGTGGAGCCCGCTCTGCGGCTGGGAGGTTAAGACCCAAGATTAGCCTCTCTCGTGATCTGGGAAAGCCGGCCCGCGCGGGGAGCTGTGCCACCTGCACCAGGAACGCGCGCTGGAGACAGCAGCCCTGGAGGCCTAGGCGCCCCGGCGCGACATGAGACCTGTCCTCCCTGCCTGTGCCTCTTTACAGCGCCTCTTGGGCAGGGAACGGAGCCGGAGCGGCGCCTGCGCTGAAGCCAGGAGCCCCAAGGGTCGTGGGCCTTGACAGTGACTGATGTGCAGGTGGAGGGAAAGGGGGGGGGGACCCCCGCCACTTCCACTTGCCGCCTGGGGAGTCGAGAGCCTGCTCCAGGCACAGCTCTTCTGAGGCTTGGTTCAAGCCAGCCAGGCTGGATCCAGGATACTCCAGTAGCCTCGGTGTGATTCTGCCCCATAGGCCTGTGCAGGTTAAAACCTGGGATTTGGGGTAGGGGCTGTGATGAGATGGTCCTCTTGCCCAGCCCAAAACTAAGACTGGGCTTCTCCTGGATGACCCTATTTCACCTGCTCCAAACCGCGAGAGCATACACACACACACACACACACACACACACACACACACAGCTGCCTGTCCAGGACAAGCAAAGCACTGTGACTTTGGAGAATATAATATTTATGGCAATGGCATCTTTATATGTTAAGGCCCGGTGTTCTCTGCACCCTATAATGATTTAGGAGGTCAGGACATCGCACCTTGGGCCTTGGCCGCTGGAACTGGAGACCCCCAGAAAATCCCCATATATCAGCCGCCACCAGCTGCCAAGCCAGAAATCACAGCTCAGCACAAACAGGAAGCCTGTTGAAGGGGTTTTTCCTCATTTGCAATAGTTTGTGCATAGATAATAGGGAGGTATAGGCACCTGGGCAAGTTATTTAATATTTTTCCAATTGCAAGATGAGAATAATAATAATAATAATGTTGACCACACAGGTTGTAATGGTGAGGATGAATGAGCCTGCTGATCTGTTGTGACACATGAAGGTGGAAAAGAAACCAAATTGCAAAACCATGAGCCCATTTCAAACCATAGTTCTATAAGTACATGGGGTCTAGTTTAAGGTTTAAAATGCTCTTAGCAGAGTCATAAATTGGAGGCTTGATCACACACACCCTTGGCTGAATCAAGGCTGATGATCATTCATTCAAGAAGTTATTTGCTGAGCACTGTGTGGCAGTTGGTGCATGGTTGAAACAGGCTCCTTGCAGAGGAAGGCAGAATGTTTCTCTCCAGGCAGTCTACTTGAAATAAATAATGGCCCAATTGTTAAATGCCAAGAGGGAGAAGTACTGGGCATTTGCTTGGAGGACATATAAAAAGAAGACTTGACTTATGTTGGGGGCTATCAGGGAAAGCTTCCATGAGGAAGTGATGTTTAACTTAACTTCAAACACATGATTAGACTAGACGTAAGGTAGTGGTTCTCAGCCATGGCTAGACAGTAGAATGACCTACAAGCTTTAAAAGAGTCTGACACCAGGACCCAACTCCCGATGGTTCTGATTTCTGGAGTGGAACCTTCACTAGGGCATTTTTAAAAGCTCCCTGGGCAGGGAGAGGTAGGGTTGTTCAGATTGGGAAAGGGGTCTGAGCAGAGGGACTGTGGCTCAGGAGAAGCAGGGCTGATGGAACCCTGCCTGCTTTCCCCACACTCCACTAACATGAGAGACACTCTCTACTCTCTCTAAGAGTCTCCTACTCAGTGTCATGTTGGACAGCAGCAACTGAACACAACTTTTCTCAGGCTTTTCCCACTAAGCAAAGAGCATATCTTGGTGCCTTTCAAGGCCCCCATTCCAGCATTTCTGGATATTTCTATGATTCCTACCTCAACCCTAAACTACCTTCCAGGATTTCACTCTAAGGGGGAAATTTAGATGAAACATTTGCTTCTGCTCTTTGTCCCCATCTTCTCCTCTTTTCTCCTTGGCCCCTTCCTCTAGTAGAGGAAAGACTTTCTGCTTCTTCTTTATATGGCATGTGAGCTCTAGCTCAGCGGTTGCCAACCAGTGGTCTGCAGACCAGTGGTGGTCCGTGAGGTCCGAAAGGTTGGCAATCACTGCTCTAGCCCATATCCTCCTTTCTTTGGGCAATAAGTCTCATGACTTCCACCATTAATTATAATGATAAAAAAATCTGCAGGGGAAGGGTGCAAAAACCTGATTACTGAAAGGGAAATGCATTTTTAAATACATAAGAAATATTCCCATTATCTAGGTAATCAACATATATTAATTAGAGCAGTGTGCTTCCAGTAACAAAGTTCAGTAACAAATAAAGAAAATCCATGTCTTTGCAATAAGATTTTCTTATGCCAGATGATTCAGAAGCCACCTCTCGCCATACTTATCACAGTTTATAACTCTGTTTGCAAAATAAGTTGATAGGCTAGAATGCCTTTATCCTTCCTCTCCATTTCAAAGAATTTGATCCATTCTAAGAGCATCTGCTCAAATTCCTCCTTGTTCATGAGGAATTTTAGCTCATATGCTCTCTCTCTTATTCAGACCTTATTGCACTAATTAATTGAATCACTCATTTAATAGTGTATTAGTTGTAATATGTAATTACTAGAGGCCCAGTAATTACACGAAATTCGTGCATGGGGTGTGTGTGTGTATGTGTGTGCGTCCCAGCCTGACCTGCACCCTCTCCAATCCGGGAGCCCTCAGGGGATGTCCTATTGACGGCTTAGGCCCGCTCCCCATGGTTCTCTGCTCTCTGCAGGGCCTGCCTGCTCCACACTGCAGCAACTGCCAAGCAGGCCATGCTGGGTGCTACCTGCAACCGCACTTGCCTGCTCCCTGGTCACCATGGTGATGGCCAAGCAGGCCAGGCAGTGCTGGGAGCTGCCTCCTCCCTCCTGTCAGTCTCCACAGAGACAATAAGGTTAATTTTCATACTCACTCCTGATTGGTTGGTGGGCATCATGAAGGTATGGTCAATTTGCATCTTTCTCTTTTATTAGTGTAGATAGTATGCTTCCTATGTGCCAAGCACTGTTAGATACTGACAATTGGGATATTATATTGTTATAGTGAAATATATATTTTTTCTGTAGTCATTGTACTTATTCTCCCCAAGCTGGATTATGGATCCTTAAGGACAAGGTTACATTTCTCATTCAAGGAAACTTGTACAGTGTCCTAAAAACTGTTATATAAAACATAGCTAGTTAAATTGTTGTTGTTTGATCAACTGGAATCTTCTGACATTTTAGCTTCCAGACCATTCTCATCACTTTATATCTCCTGAATAGATGTCTCTGTCAGCAAGGGTTCTGTCTACAAGCAAGAAAACTAAGTCTGGACAATTTAAGTCTTTAAAAATTGCTTAAAGTATTATCAGGTCATAAGATGGTTCATTGAACCTGACTTTGTGACAAATGGAGAGTAGCTCAGTTCTGAGTAGAAGCAGCAGAAACAAATGGAGAATCTCTTCAGTGTGAATCCATTCCAACCATTTTGGTCCTTCTGCCACACTTCTCAGGGTTCAAAGTCAAAGGCTAGGGTCCAATTGGCCCACAGTTCTGGCCAGGGGAAGAAGAAGCCTGATGGATGGGCCCAACAAGAAGGCATGCTAGAGGAAAGGAGTTGCTCCATAAAGGACGACCAAAACACTGTTGCCAAAAATTGGGGAATAGATGCTTGTCAGATACACACACAAAAAATGTCCAGATGTCCACTACACCATCTCAAGATTCAAGCATTACCCTGTAAACCCACAGAATAAATATATTATGGCAATTTTAAGCCACTTAATCATTAGGGTAGTCTGTAGTACATGAATAGATAACTAATACAAACTTACGAAGGAAAATACTACTGCCTCAATTTTATAGATAAATAAATGCACATTCAGAAAAGTTAAGAAATTTGCTCCAATTCATAAAACTAGTGCTAGAGGCAGGGCTGGATTCAAAACCATGCCTTTGATACAACCTCTTAATTTCCTCACAGCTACCTCATCCATCTGCCACAAAAATCTCAGGCAAGATTGGGTTGATATAGATTGGACCCACTCCCAGTATCTATAGCACTTCTCTGGTGTGTTCTTGGAAGCTACAAATTCATCTCTTGAGCTTCAATGCTATGTGAAACTACACCACATCCTATCTGCGAGCTCCATGTATTCTGTGAGGCCGTCACAAAGTCTCACTGAGAAATGAAGGGATCATGACAGCTGCTGAGGTCAACGTCCCTGCCTCTCTGCCTCAGTTTTCCAGTCACATCCCCATCTAGTCTGTGTCCATATTGCGCATCTCACATAGTCAAACCTAGGTGTGTGCATAGTTTTGCGCTCTGCCGAGGGAGAATTTGCTCAACATTTCAGTGCTTACTCTTCACATTTTGCAGATGGGGTTCCTGAGTGAGATTCGCCTAGCCATTCTTCTGGCAGAAAGCATGAACAACCGTTGAATTATGTTATTGAAATAACTTTCATTACCTCAATCCCCAAAAGCAAACAGATCCTCCCCACCCAAAACAAAAGTTCTGGTTCCCAGACTTTATTTCATTTGTGTTTTCCATGAGTTCTGGGACCCACCCTGGTATTCCCTGTCATTTTTTTTTCTACCAGACATAACAGATACCAGCCCAACAGCAGAGGGGAATAAAGAGAAGGCCTGGACAGCAAGAAAGGACATAACATTGTATCCATCACAAATTAAAAACACATTTTCTCTCAGCTCCATTCAACAGCATTCAACAAACACCAGCTCTGTGCTTCCCTGCAGAAGCTACCAGAATGTGTCAGCACTGTGTCCTCACGGAGGGAGAAAGCAAGTGTGTATAGCAGAGGTCTGCACACTTTCTATAAAATGACAAATAATATTTTTGGCTTTATGGGGCCAGAAGCCAAAGAAAGAAAATTCCCACAAGTGTTTTATTGACAAAATAAAACTTTATCTATGGACGTTGAATTGAAATTTCGTATGATTTTCACATGTAACAAATGCTGTTCTTCTTTTGAGTTATTTTTCCCCCCAACAATTTAAAAAAGTAATAACCATTCTTAGCCTGCAGGCCATATAAAAACAGGCAGTGGGGTCAGATTAGCCACATGGACCATACTTTGTCGACCCCTGATGAGTAAGGAAAGGATGGAAAATGGCTGGGAGTTAGTCCCCAAAATGGGTGGCACCACGACAGAAGTCCAGAGAGGAGAGAGGTGGGGTGGGCTGGTCTGGTTAGGAAGACTTAATGGAAGAGAAGGGATTTGAGCCTTAAAGGGAGGGTAGGATTTGGCTGCACAGAACAGTCTAGGGAGAACATTCCAGGCCGAAGCGATGAGCACAAGGCAAAGAACAGTGGGAGGACCAGTGGAGACTGTGACATACTTCTCGCTCTCCAAGGTTTCTGTGACACACCCTGGGCCTGGTGTTTATGAAGGGGATGGGTATTGTGGGCCCGTGGGAGCAGGCCTTTAAATGACTACAATCAATCATATTGTATGAATATTTATAATATTCATCACCCACAACTTGTTGGGAACACTGAGAGATCCACCAGATCTGCAATTTAAAACTGATGGAGGACAAATTAGACTTTATTTTTCTTCATCAGGAGATGTTCCAGGTTTCAATTAGTCACTTCTTTTAAGGGATTTTTGTGGAGAATGAGCTTGTTCTCAGAATCTTAATAATATTCCCATCGTACCAGAAGATGCCATGTGCACTAACCCAAAATTTCATGGCCAATCTGAAAGTCGTAAGTTAGGAGTAACAAATGGCTTTGGTTAGTATATTTTTGTTTGTGTTTTAATATCAATATGAAATTTCTCTAGAAGTTAGTAATTAGTGGATAACTTTTTAAAATGTTCTTTCTGGCTGACTCTATCTGTTCCCATGATTTCATCTCCTACTCATAAAGGGCTAATTCCCAGAACTGTATCTCCAGTAGATATCTCCCTAAAGCTTCAAATGCAGATGTCCAAATTCCTGCCGACTGTCCCCACCTAGTCCTCCCACAGTTGGAAGCCTCCAAAATGGCCTGCAATGATCACTGGTCCCCACCTCTTGGTGCTCACGCCCTTGAGTTATCCCTTCCCTTTGGGTGTGGGCTGGGCCTAGTGACTCACTTCTAGCAGACAGAGTATAGAAGAGGTGATGGGGTATCACTCCTGATAGCAAGTTACAAAAAGTCTAGATTCCATCTTGCTTGCCCTTTCTTACTCTCCTCTTGCTCACACTGCTGGAAGCCAGCTGCCATATTCTGAGCTGCCCCAATGGAGAGGTCCTGTGGCTAGGAACTGAGGGAGGTTTCAGGCCAACAGCCAGTGAGGACCTAAGGCTCTCAGTCCAACAGCCCTGGGAGAACTAGGTTCTGCTAACAACCACAGGAGTGAGCGTGCAAGTCTTCAGCTGGGACTGCAACACCTTGATTACATCTGTGAGAATGCTGAGCCCAAGGCACCTCGCTGAGTAGGGCCTGATTGGTGATCCACAGACACTACGAGGTAACAAACATGTCAGGGTTGAAGCTGCTAAATTTTGAGGTGATTTATTCCACAAAAAGTTAACTAATGAATCAGCAAATTCCCTAAACCTGTTTCTTCCCCTAAGTTCTCTCTTTATTTGCTAGGGCCACCACGCATCCACTCACCTAAGCTAGCAAAGGGATGTTAGCAGTCCTTCATTTGATTTTCTTACATATACAAAAGCTCAAAAGCTTTTGTATTTTTCAATCGACATGACTTAATAAGCTGAAATATTGCCCCCTGTGAGTTCCATCTGGAAATTAAGCCACTTATGCAGCATCACATGGCGTAGCTTGAACTTTCTCAATTTCTGCCTGATTGTGCAGGCAAGAATATGACATCATCCTGGATGTCTTTCCGCAGATAATAAACCCCTGGGAAGTGTCCAGAGTGATAGACTGGAAGAAGGGAGAGTCTGGGAAACTTGAAAACGATGCCCGTAGCTTGAAAAGCAAGCACATTATACGGGGGATAGAACAAGCATGGGATTCAAAGGCTGAGATGTGGGTCCTGGTTTGAGGCTTTGCTACTAATTGGCTGTGTCCTTGGCAAGTCATTTACTTCTTTAAGAGTCACTTGCCTCTTCAGCAAAACGAGTGGGTTAGATGTCAGTGGACAGCAGACCCATGGGTGCATTGCTTCAGGGTGAACTGGGAGCTTGTTAAACTTCAGAGTCCTGTCCCTACTTTACCCCATGCTGATTCAGCAGGTCTAAGGTGGGGCTTAGAAATCTGTATTTCTAAAGTGACTAGCCCTAGCTGGTTTGTCTCATTGGATAGAGTGTCAGCCCATGGACTGAAGGGTCCCAGGTTTGATTCTGGTCAAGGGGAAATGCTGGGATTGCAGGCCCAATCTCCAGTAGAGAGCATGGAGGAGGCAGCGATCAATGATTCTTTCTCATCATTGATGTTTCTATCTCTCCCTTTCCCCTCGTCTCTGAAATCAATAAAAATATTTTTTTAAAAATAAAGTGACCACCTCTTTGAAGTTTATCTAGGAAATACTGAACTAGACCCTCTCAAAGGATAGCTAAATTCTAATACTGTAATTGCCAAGTAGTTCTTACTATATGCCAATTCTACTTTGCATGGTATATTATAAAACAAACAAAAAATATAAAGAATGGATTTGTGTGTGTGCATATGTGTATGTGCACATATGTGTGGGTGGTGTTGTTGTTGTTTTTCCATTTTATTCTCTTCCCAAACCCCAATGGATGTCCTTGCATAGTCACTGGGACATATGGCCCTCACTGGGAGACCCGCTGGAGGCCATGACTGGTGTACTGGAATTGGGTGGAGAGGAGCACAAAGGCTCAGGAATACCAAAGACAAACAG